TTCTTGTCTCAAGCCCAATTCTGAACATTGGTCATCGCTCAGCATTTATTTAGTGTCTGTGTGAGCTCTAGGGCACAGTGCCTGTCTCTGACCTCTGGCTCCTGCTAGAATCAGGCGACAGGTAAGGATCTCAGGATATGCTGACAGGCAGGCACTGTACATGAGACCCCTGCTGTGCCTAGGATGTCATAGGATTAGGATGGCATTTGGTAGACCAGACACCTAACTCTACTTGGTCAGGAAAAGCTTCCTCTAAGGCAAAGGAACATGGTATCTGAGGGGTCTGCCAAGTGTGAAAATGTACATGTATGGAGGATGTAGGCTGAGGACTGGATATTCAGTTGAAGAGAATCAAGGACACATCATAACAAGGCATGGCATAATGCACTCAGCTGTGTTTTTCCATTTATGTAATCTAACTCTCCTTGGAATGTTAGAAATTCTAAAACAAACTAATAGTAAATGATGGAATTTAGCTTAGGTATGTACTTAGGGTTTCATTGACAAAGCACCCCAGTAGCTTGTGTGGGCCCTGGTGTAGTTCAGCTGGTTATTCGGGGTCTGGGTTGCTTCTTACAGACATTATTGCAGCATCAGCTCCAGATTCCAGAGCCTGGGCCAGGGTCTCATTCCTGCAGGCGTGTAGGGAAGCCAATGAGTGTTTTCTGCGCCTGCATCTGATGAGAATTTAAGTTTATGTTTCTCACTGGCTTCCCCTCTAAGTGGCTGCCAGTGGAGTCGGCAGCAGGCTGAATGTGGCAGTTGTCTGAGGAGTCAGAAGCTCTGCCAGGGAACACCAGGCACTTTAGCTTTATGTGGCTGCAGCTGTGACTATTACATGTGTGGAGTTTTTTAAATGAGAGGATGGAGAACATGAAAAAGTTATTCTTTTCTGAAAAATGTAAGTGTTGGACCATTTACTGCCACCAGCCAATTTTTTAGTAATTCTGCATGTGCCTTTTGTTACTGTCATATAAAAGTCAGCTGTAATTCAGACATTATACACATTTATGGTCAATTTTTTATTTCTGTCTTTGGTCTAGAGATTGAATCTGGAGGCTTGTATATTCTAAGAATGTGCCCTGCCATAGGGCTACATTCCTAGTCCATAGCAGACTTTTATTATTATTATTATTATTATTGTTATTATTAAATTTAGATATTCAGCAGGTATTTTCTGAAGGCAAGGTATCCTTGTTTGGTCACATTATTGGTAATAATTCACTGTTGATCAAGTGTTGTGGTTTTTGCTGACATACATTCCTTCTAGTAGTTCTGTGGAACCTTTGAGGGCCACTGCATTACTGTACATAGATTGTGTGGAAATGTATATCGCCTCTACTTCCCCTCTGTACACAGGTAGTTTAAAGTGGTAGCTTCCTTTCCAGGGTGAGCATGGCGATTTCAACGAGCATGCATGACCATACGTAATTCTGTCTCAGTTAAGCACTTCGATTTTTGCTCTTGTGTGGACTGCTTTGCATGTGGCACCCTGGTCATTCCTTCATACAGCCCAGTGAAGCAGGCATTACTGACTTTTCCAAGGCTCTTTGGGGACTTAGTTGCAAGGTTAAGTTTCTTGCTGAGAGTTAAGGGTGCCCATCAGGGTTTGCTCTGGAATGTTCTCCAGAGGTTCATGTGTTTGGCAGCTATAGCAATGTTCAGTGGGGTTTTGGGGAAGTGGCTCTGACCTCACTCATACGTTAGTCCATCGATGGTCATATTTTGATGTGTTACTGAGAGGTGGGACCTAGTTGAAGGAATAAGCTATGCTTGTTCCTTCCTGTCTTTCTCTGCTTTCTGCTTCCTTCACTATGAGATGAGCAGTTTGGCCCTCCTCATGCTCGATGCCACTGTGCCTTTCCCAGAAAACAGTGGAGCCAGGTGACCATGATGTGAACTGTGAAGCTGTGAGTCAGAGTAAGTCTGTCTCCTTTAAGTTGACTTTCTCAGGTATTTTTGACAGTGACAGAAAGGTGACTCCCACAGCTTGTACATGTGGGAGGGTTTGCGTCTAGCCAGCCTGTACCCACATTGGCTCGGGCTTCTGTCTCTTCCTATGCAGGATATTTACTTAGCTCCTTCATATCTGGTGGCCAACAGATTGCTCAGCCTGCTAGGCTCTAGGCCAAGCTGGATCCTAGAGGTCATGTGGAAAAGAGCACTTTCAAGAGGATACTGGGGCTGGTGGGATGGCTCAGGAGGTAAAAATGCTTGTGGCAGCCTGACCATCTGTGTTTGACCCTGGAACCCATGTAGGGGTAGAAGGAGAGAACCCACTAGTGGGCATTGTCTACCTCCACATGCATACCACAGCATGTGTGGATCTAACTTACAGGTATACACCACCAACAACAGAAAGGTTCTTGGCAGCACCTTGGGTGGAGAAGCTACTGTTTCTTTGCTTTGCTGTTTTTTCTTTTTCTTGGAAGAAGTGGTATGGAGCCCATGCTCTGGCCCACATGCCAGACAAGCACTCAATTACCACACTATATCTTTTGGTATTTGGGTGGCTATAGCTCTCCTACCTTTCCTGAGCATGCCATGTCCTTTTTGGGGGTACTCCCTAGGTGATAAGCCCCAGTCTACACAAGGATGTATTGCTGTCTGTAGCCCCACCCACATGCATGAGGTTGTAATTTCTGTCTTTTAGGTTCTTCTGGGATGATTTGTCCTTACAGTGGTTCAGGTGCTTGTTGACTGGAATGATTTATCCCCACCACCTTTGCTCATTCTTTGGCCAAACGTTAAATGCTGTCATCTTTCTCTTTGAAGTAGAAAGGTCTGGGATGTAATCATTTCTGTGGTGGCTTCTGTGGTTTCCTAGGTGCTGGCTTCTGTGGCAACAGGATGCCTGTATATTTTAGGACAGAGAGAGGAAGGCAAGACGAGGAGATGCAATCTTGTCAGTGCAGGATGATGTGGTGGGAAATTTAACAGCCACAAACATTGAGTGGTGAAGTCTAAGGAAATAGCTATTACCTGTGAGTGAAAATGTACTGTGTAATGTGGAAAGGCCATTGTTCATCTTGTTCCAGACTGCCAAAGCCAGTACCTTCTGGGATTTCTATTTCCCTCCTTGCAAAATGATTTACTATAAATGCAAATGAAGTCTCTTTAAGTGCCAGGGATAGCTTTTGTGATTCTTGGGGTGTCACCTTACCCACAGGATTTTCTGAGTAGAGGTATCTTACTTTATAGATATTTGATGCTTACTTCTGATGATTAGGGCTTGGGTGCCAAGGATTATCTCATTACCTGAAACTGTAGCACATTCAGATTTGTGCATCAGGAGAATGACTACACCTTTCCAGCGTGTTCTCTGGACAGTTCCTACAATTCCAAGGCTTTCTTGGCCTTATTGATAATGTGAAGCTAGATAAGATTGGGCTGTCCCAAGTCTGCCATCCTGCCCTAACCTTCTCCGAAGTCTCCTCATCCAAGAACTGAACTGCAGTCACCTTCACAATAGGCAAGAACAGTCACTGAGCTCCTGAGGAGGACATGTGTGGTAGCGTGCCTAGCAGTTTTGGGCTCCCCTTACAGGAGGCCAGCAGGAGGCCTCTGTAATGACCAGCTATGTCTTTAGGCATTGCCAGAGTGGCCTAGGTGCACATGAAGGCAACAGTTGTCCCTGTTGATAACCACTGAGGCACACCATTGCACTATAGTACATTTGAAAATGACAGGAGAGTCAGCAGAACAGTAGGGTGTTGTGGTCACCCAGAGGACTCACCTGGTCAGTTGCATAGAGGTAATTGTTCAGGAAGACAATTAGTAACGGAAAGAAGAGGTGGTCTTTGGAAGTGTTTGTGTAAAGAGGTGCCACGGTAGACCATCCCCACCGTACTGCAGAACAGTTCACATCACCATCTAGTGCTTTCTTACTGAGCACAGGTAAGTTTTAGTTATTTTGAAGAGCTGAATTTTGAAGGATGTGCTTGACCATCTGCTAGTGGCCTCTGCATGGGTTGGTTGCCCATCTCTCGGGCCTGTGGCCTCTACAGCTTTCATGATGGGTTCTCCAGCCAGCATGTGTCCACCTTATCCTCTCATATCCTCTGCTCTGGCGTAGTCATTAGAAGTTAAGCCTGTGTGCACTGCTCTTGTCTTCTGAGCCTTTGGCTGGAGGCAGTTATCAGTAGTCACGCTTTGTTCCATTTCTACCGCATTGTAACATTTAGAATGTCAGTGTATGCATACAAAGAAAGTCATAATTGTTTTTTTTAGATAATGGAATCCAAGGTTATTTACCTTGGTAATTGTCTTTCTTTTTGCTTACAGCACCAGTGTTCATTACAGTTGTAGGAATGTAAATTAGTCTAGTTAAACAGGATCTCCATAGGTTGTTACCATCTATAAAACAAATATGACATCACACTTCTGGAATACCACTGTTCATCTTTTCTCTAAATTTAAGTTTGTCTGTAACACATTCTTTCTGAGCGATGATTGTCATTGTCTGGCACTGCTGATCCTCTTCAGTTCAGTAATTAGAAAAAATATCTTACACAACAATTTTGAACAAAAATTGTTATATTTATTTCAAAATAGTGCATTTTTATCCTGTGACTATTATTTTCAGCAGAGAAATATCAGTTCTAAATAGAATATGTTCTTTTTAAACTGTATTACCATTTGAAAATGCTCAGTTATATTGAAAATTTCCCGAGTCTGTTCTGGGATGAAAGTCATGTATCTTAGAAGCTAGTAGAGGAGTTTCCCCTTAGGGTGTGCTGAAGAGGAGGGACTGGTGTTGATAATGAAATGAGAGGTAGAGGAATACTTGTAGAGTAGCCATAATAATTCAAGTAAGAATTGACTGGAGGGGGCACGAGAGAGAATTGGTTTGTAGATTGTTTGTGTTGGTTAGTGACGGCACTAGAAGCCTCCTGAGCAGCCATTTGGGTTCGCCTGTTCCTTTCCAGTGCATAGTCTAGAGTTGTCTCTTTTTATCATATAATGGAAATAATGGAAATGGAATTTGTTTTTCACCGTAGGAGGTGGAATAGGCTTCGGCTGCAGGACAAAGAGAAACGCCTGAAGCTTGAAGAAGATTCTGAGGAGAGTGATGCCGAGTTTGACGAAGGTTTCAAAGTGCCTGGTTTTCTGTTCAAAAAGCTCTTTAAGTACGTGCCGTTTGTTCTGTATGTTCTGTTTGTCATCGAGCTGTTGTGTACAGATTAACATTTAGAAATTACACAGTAGTTACCTGTGGGCCCTGAAGGTACTTGCAGCAATTTATTGCAAATCCAGATGCTGTCACATGAAATTTTAGCCACATGCTGTTCATTAAAATTAGAAGATAATAAATTGACTAAGGTGCGCACTGGGTGTGTTTGTAAACTGATGAGTCTGTTTGGGCTTGTCTCAGCAGACTAAAAGCAACACATTTAAAAGCCTCTGCACCAAGTTATGGTTTTGCTCTTAGTAATTTTAGGCACCAAACCTCTCATTTTAAAAATTAGATTAATTTATTTAAGAAGATTTATATATTAAAATCAACAAGGAGCATTACAGATATTAAAATCAAACCTTGGAAGAGTTTTTTGTTTTTAGTTCTGTGTGAAAACAAATTGTTGATTGACTTCTGAGGACCTTGTCTCATACCTAAGGGATAATATTTTTGAGCTGACCAATGTGCATCTGAATATTTTATGCGGACGTCTTTCTATATAATGTCAAAAGGTAAGACACAGACAACACCTCAAGGACCTAGGAAGCTGACTTAAGTTCCCTGTGTAAATGGCCAAGTGCTGTGATGACCAGAAGCTGCCTGAGAGACACATGCTTGGTCTCTATGGCTGGGCAGGACTCCCATGGTGAGCATATACACCGAGGGATTCAGAGGCTTTAGCTGTGCAGAGGAAGTGAGACCATTAGACAGTTTCTTTCCTTTTCCTATCATCAGTTCATAGAGCAGCAAACTTCTTTCTGTGAGAAAATGAAGTTTAGTGTCCTTTATAGATTCAGCTGTCAGCCATGCCCTAAACTTATGGAAGATATCCACTTAAAAAATAACATGCTCTTCATATTTCTTCTCAGAGAGCTTATTTATACATGTGTGGGGTGTGTTTGCACATGATAAGCACTATACTCCTGAGAGACGTCAGGTGAGATCAAGACCTACAAATAATATTTATTTATTTGATCGTTGTGCTGGAGGATGGAATCCAGGGCTTTGCTCATGAAGGCAAGTGCTCTTCCACTCAGCATCCCCAAATTACAGTTCATGTCTAGGTGTAATGGCTCTGTGGATTGGAGGCATTTGGGGTGGGGGAGTAAAGAGTAGATATCTATCTCATTAAATACATAGTAAAACGAAGTCTTAACTAAAGTCGCGTGGCTGGGTTGTCTGACTAGAGGAAGAGGAAGAGCCACTGGAATGTAGAGCCTACATTTCTGGTCATTTCTGCAGACAAGTCAGTTCATAGCGCAGAAAGCAAATGGTTTGTTCACTGCTGCTCCCCGGTGAGAATTAACTGTAGAAAGATAATAAAGATTACACTTATTGTCAAGTAATTGTTCTCAGAAGTAATTGTTTATTAAGGAACAAGTAAAATAGTTTCCGTGTTGTACTAGCAAAGAGAGATACCCAAATTATACATGAAGGTGGCTTAACAAGGACAGAGAGTGAGCTGGCAAACATCCTTAGGAGTCAAGTTGAATGCACAGTTTTGTATAAGTGTCAGATTTTCTAGCAAAGAAGTTTCACAGGTAACAGCACCAAACTTTGCTTTACTACATGTATGTAAAAGTCAGTATATTGGCTACTAACTTTATTATACTTAATATAAAAACATGCTTGGTAGTGTTTTAAATTTGTCTCAATTATGCCTTTCTAGAAAATACTCTTTTATATCTACAAAAATAATTTAAAATACTTTATAAATAATACTAGATTTCATATTTTCTATTGTAAGAAAATGGAGGACAAATGGAGACTCTTTTTAAAAAGTTATTTATGTGTATGGGTTCTTTGCCTATATGTATGCTGTGTGCATATAGTGCCCACAGAGGCTAGAAGAGGGGACCAGGTGCCCTGGAGCTGGAGTTAGAGTGGGTGGTGGGTTGCTGTGTGGGTGCTGGAAACCACACTGGGTCTTCTGCAAGAGCTGCAAGTGTTCCTCACTTCTGAGCATGTTCTGGCCTCTCATCTCTGCCTTCTTCTTCTTTTTTTTTTTTTTTAAGATTTATTTATTTTATGTATGTGAGTACACTGTAGCTGTCTTCAGACACACCAGAAGAGGGCATCGGATCCCATTACAGAGAGTTGTGAGCCACCATGTGGTTGCTGGGAATTGAACTCAGGACCTCTAGAAGAGCAGTCGGGGCTCTCAACCTCTAAGCCATCTCTCCAGCCCTGATCTCTGCCTTTTTTATGATTAAGTTTTAGCCCAGCCAGTTTACCTTTAAGTTGTGGATATATTTTTATTCTGCTTACTACATTCAGTGGAATTGAATTAACAGGGTCTAGTTGCACCCCAGGGAGTCAGGAGACACAGTTTTCCATTTAAGTGCTATTTTCTGCAAGATAATGTTTAACTTCTAAATTTCAGTTTTGAAAGTTTGCCCAGCAAATGTATTCATCTGTATAATTTAACAGCCTCATGAAAAACTTCAATTTGTTTTGACCTTACACTCCACCAAACTAGTAAATGCAATCTTGGGTTAGTGCGACCAATGCCAAGATCCAACAGTTCTTTGTGGTTATTTTCTGATGCTTTGGTCCCATGGGGATAACAGAGTTTAGTAATTTCCTTACTGTTGTACAGTAACTTAAAAATACTGTTTAACTTCCTAAAGAGTAAGATTTATATGCTTCTCAAGGATTTTGAGAACTAAATTTTAACTCCTGTTTTCATTTTAACTGTGTAGTTGCTTTATGGTATTTACTATTCACAATGTAAAGCAATAAAACTCAGGGCGTTTACTAGTTCTGGAGCCAGAGCTCAGGTCTTCAGAGCTCAGGTCTTTCATCCTTATTCACCATATACCCCTGCTGACCAGGGCGGTGGGTCTGCTTCCATTATCAGTGAATATTCTTCAACTGAAGTCTGAGGGCCTGTTTATGGTGTGGGTTGTGGGAGCTAGCTCCTTACCCAGGCTTTGTACAATCCCCAGCTGTTGAGACCCAGTTTTTGGGCTGCCTCATAACTGTTTCTCATTCATTTATTTCTGTAGTACTTCTCAACTTTGTGTAAACATACTATTGTGCACCCTGTGAAAACCCTTGGGGTTTTAGGGTAGGAGATGGCAAAACACCTAGCCCACTGCTGCTGATTCCCCAGGGTCACATGGAATCCAGTGTCTGGTTCAGTCCCAGATTCTTTCTGAGAGACACCCAACTGATAAGTATTCCTTTCCTAATTCCCCAGTTGCTGGTTTCTGAATTCTTACCATTTTAATAAAATTTGGACCTAAGGGAAAGAAGAGTGTTGACCCTGTGTTGGGTGGATTGATTTCAGCATGGTCACTAGGAGATACTGGGCCTGCTTGGAGCTGCTGCCATGGCTTCTCTGCTTTGGTAGGAGAAGGCCAGTGCCTAGAATCCAGCCATTCTGGACTGTGAGTGCAAACAGTCTATTTTGTTTAGCTTTCTTTATTTTTAATTTTTATTCTTTTGAGACATGGTATCATCATGTAGTCTAGGGTGGCCTCACACTTGAAAGTCTCCTGCCTTAGCCTCTTGTGTGTTAGGATTATAGGTATGTAAAACCAGATTTTCTTCCATACCAAGACTAATTCAGCCTTGACATTCTGGGCCAAATAATTTTCTGTAGGGACTGATCATAGTGTTGTAGGATGAATAGCATCTCTGACTTCTGCCCATGAGGTCCTAATTGTTCTTTTCCACTTGAAAAAAACAATGTCTGTAGATATTGCCAAATGGCCCAAGGGAGCAAATTATCTCTGGTTCAGGGCTGCTCTTCTAGATTATTTCCAAAATGGAGTCACTTTGGGGTCATACAATTCTGGATTTTAACTTTGCTTGCTTGAATTCTTGTTGTATATATGTCACTCCCTTCTCTTCCTGAGTCTTTCTCCCATCCCCTTCCTCTTTTCCTGAGTCTTTTCTTCCTGCCTGTAAAATATTCTGTCAACCCCCACTGTGGAGCCTACCTGGTCCAGAGACTCCCTGCAAATGAGTTTGTTCAGCAGGAGACATTGTTCTCTCAGGACATGTGATACATTTATGGGACTTGTCTTCTCAAATTAATCAGACTTATTTTTATACTTAATTGGGTTTTGATTTTTTAATCCTTTACTCCAAAGTGTATTTTCAATGCGTTTATTATAATTAGCCAAACTAATAAGCAGTAAGTGTCTCAAAGTTTTTCTTAAACATAAGCATTGATGTTACCACCTAGATTCATACTTAGTTGACTTAGTACTGAGAAAAAGTGAACTATGGCACATGTACTGAAAGGAGGTAAGTAACAGCTCATCAAGAACCAAGATCCACAGTAAGATTGGCTCATTTGTCTGTCTGTGTGTCTGTCTGCTTCTTATCTCCCTCCCTCCCTTTTTTAAAGACAGACCTGGAATTCCTGGAATTCTGCCTCAGCCCAAGTGCTGAGGCTATGGACAGACCCATCTCAGAACACGATTTCAGTAGGCAGTAAAGTAGAAATAATAAACCTATCTTCTTTTACTGTGGGAAAAAGCCTTAGCTTTGGTGTTCTCTTTGGGCCAGATTATCCTTTGGCTTTTATCATAAGTGAGTTTTGCTTACATTTTTTTAAAAATTTTCACTCCTGAAAATATTTTTGTTTTATTACTTAAACGCAAAACAAACCTTAGAGGTTTCTAGGATTGAGTGTGTCAATGGTAAAGAAAGTATCAGCTGGATTTTTTTTTTTTTGAGAGGGGAAAGGGAGATACTGTTTTATTTTTTACTTAAAAAATATATTTAAAATTTTATAGTCCCAATCTTGTAACTTTTGTTAAAATCCTTGAGTGCTTTAAAATACTAAAAGACCTATTATGCTGTTTGTTCTTTATAAATAGCTCTTTTTACATCTGTTAATTGTGCAACAGAATCATCTGTTATACACTAATTTTGAGAATGGTTCTATTACTCATACTTGCTTATGGCCTTAAAATTTCATTTAATTTTCCCTAGTAAAAGATAATATGATTACAAAGTGACTTTACAACTATATAAACTATAAGTTCTGGTGTTCTCTGCTGTGCTTTTTGGATGCTATTTAGATTGAAAAAATTATCACTTCTTTTTTGTAGAAAAACTTACGGACTCTTATATACTTAGAATATTTGAGGTTTTTATTTTCCAGAAAGTAAGTCAAAGCTAGTAAGTTTATGCTTGTTTATCAAGCTATATCTAATGTTGAGAAAGAATAAAATAGTTCTAATTACCCCCATTTATCAGTTTAATTAGAAATGTGTTAACATTCTATAACAAAAAATTATGATTTTTATGCCTAAGTGATCAAAAATGTATGGCCTTATAAATATAACAGTCATATAAAGCACGCATCCGGCAGGCTTCTCTGACTGGACTAGAACCTAACCAAATGATTAATTCATGAGTCCTTTCTGTTACAGTCTGTATTACCCACCATTTGCCATTCTCTTTCCTTGTTGTTTGTTGTTGTAGGTATCAGCAGACAGGTGTTAGGTGGCTGTGGGAATTGCACTGCCAGCAGGCAGGAGGAATTCTGGGAGACGAAATGGGATTGGGCAAGACCATCCAGATAATTGCCTTCTTGGCAGGTCTGAGCTACAGCAAGATCAGGACTCGCGGTTCAAATTACAGGCAAGTGCTCCTCTGCAGACTGTCAGTCTGTGGAGCTCAATTAATATTTCATCAGATGTATTGCTGTGGAGGAGGGTCTTGTGAATTATTGATGACATTTCAATTACAATATTCCTTTAATTCTTTTAGTGGGGGACATCAAAGGAAAAATTTTACGAGACAATGGAGCTGTAGGGCAGGAGAAATTAAACATGTAACACTTGTAATGAATTCCAGGCGTTGATGCTTCATTTTGCAGATGGGCCCCACTAGATATTTTGGGTCAATACAATGTCTAAGGTTAGCTCTTGCAAATGGATTGTTTACAAACTCAATTATGTTAATATCAATAGTTTACACAATATGGAATTTTAAATTAGACATAATACCTTTAGTCCCATTTATTAAATTTTACATTAAAATATTTGTTCTGGCAGGAGACCAGGTGAGCATTACAGTAAGGACGAGTCTGCTCATGGGCAAAGTTGGAGCCTTGAAGAAGCCTTTCTCTACAGTTTCTGCTACTCTTAAGTCTGTGTATGTGATGGCATTCAGAGGTGTGCTCACTCTTTTGGAGTGAAATTACTTAGTCTACTCAGTACGTTTTAGACTCTGTTCCCAAGGTCAACACCTAAATGACGTCTAGAAAGTGTAGAACATAATCTTAGTCGGTTTCTGCTTATTTTCTAATACACTGCTAGCACATTAGTGTTCTGAAAGAATGAACCTTTAATCTGTTTGGAGGGAGCATTGAAACGTTTGTCCTTGTAATAAAGACCTGTGAGCATTGCCTTGCTCAAGCTGTAGATTATCTTCATGGAAATCTACATTGGTAAAAAGGTTGTGAGGTAAATTACATAGGATGTTTGATCTTGGACACAGACAAACCAATAGCTCCCTGTGTCCCAGCAGGTTTATCTAGTGAGTAGTAGTGACGGAGTTACCAAGTGGATCTGTGTCCTATGACTTGAGGCACTCATTGTACTCAGTTTGCAAATGTTTTCGAAACAGTGTTGATGTGTTGAAAGTCAGCAACTGCAGAGCATTATTGCCCACATTCTAAGGAAGTGGCACAGAAATGTGTAGTAGAGAGCCAGATATGTCACCTAAACCCCTGCTACTAGAGACTCTTCTCGAGTCTCCCAGGTATCCGGGCGACCTTTTACTTGTTACTTGTCTTTAAATGCATTACTTTTTGCTCAGTTAACAGACCAGCACTTCTTGTGAGGTTTGAAGTTTTCAGATTTTTTTTAAAGAATTCATTTTTAGTATGCTTGTTTGTACACTTGCCTGTACATACATGTTGGGGGTATGTGCATATGACTGCAAGTGCCTGTGGGATCTGGAAGAGGATGTTGGATCCTCTGGAGCTTGAGTCATAAGTCAAAGATGTGAGTGGGTACTTGGAACTGAACCCAGGTCTTCTGTAAAGCAGTGTGTGCTCTTAACCATTGAGTCATCTGTGACCCCTAGATATTTTTCAAAGTCCCTGTAGGCAGAGGAAACCTGTTAAAAGATTTTAAAAACTAAATGTCTTTCTGCTGTTACAGGAAAGCTGTAGTGAAGCAGGAGAGTGTCTGTAGCCATCAGATATACTTCTTTAGATGTAGGATATATTTTGCCTGGAAATATGAAAACAATCCAGCCCAAGAAGTAAGTCAGCTGAAAATGGGCATCTAAGGTTTTCCTGTCTGTGACTGTTACTTAGCATTTACAAATGACCTTTTCTGTTCCAAATAGGTCTGATCTTTATAGCTCTTTTGAGGTTTTCTGATAACTAGAATATCCTGATTGTCCCAGATGTTTCTAGGGCTTTCTCTCCGTAAGTGATTTCCAGAATTTTCTCACTTCCCTGTTTATTTCCTCTCTTTCTGTCCTATTATCATGAACCTTGTGTGGAGTTTTAACATTCTGGGCGTAGGAGACCTCGACTCATCCCCGAAGTGTAGTTTTGATATATAAATTAAAACGTTCTTTTGAGTGGTGACAATCGTACAAGGATGAAGGTAGGGCTTCTAATGAGCATCAGCTGCAATCACTTAACTGTCGATGCTCATATTCGCTTTCCATAATGAAATAGTGTGGCATATTGGACTAGCGCCCGGATCGTCTTTATTAAAATAATATTGGTGGGATCGGCTTCTGAGGATATGGCAGTGTATCAGGCACAGTACAAGGTTGTGCTGAGGAGGGGTGTGCTGGGCTGAGGAGTTCTGTGAAGAATGAATGTGTAACATGTCCTTCTTCTGTACTAGGTGAACTTATGTCTTAAAGAAAAATAGCCCTTAAAGCAACAGGAACATGTGTGTAAGCCAGCATTGCATTGTTGGCTACAGATGTTGGGGTCCCAATAGGAGGTGACCACCTAATTTCAAGGTCTGTGAACATTGTGAAACTGGAAGTCTCTGTGATACCAAGAAACTTCTCTTAAAAGTAGTTCGTTGTATTAATTTATGTTTTGATGGATGGTGTACAACTGTTGTTTCTAGAAGAGAAAGAAGCATGAATAAGTGAGTGCTGGCAGCTATGTTTCTGGAGCACAGTGAACACACTGACTTTACTTGAACAATCTTAAAGTGATGGGTCCTCTGAATTTTATAACAGGAAGAAGTCAGTGATTTACTTCTCACATTTCAGTTAATACTTGACTTGGTTGTCATTTAATTAATTTCTGATGAAGAGTTAAGTCCTAAAAAAGATTACAAAGTTTGAAGGGTAAATGTTACACTTTGTAATTCCCAGTAAGTCCTAGGCCACAGCTAGTAGGCTTTCCACTCATAAGTTGAAGTATTTGACCATGGAGCTATTGACTAGTCTTAAATTCATTAAGTAATCAATGACAATCAAAGATGAAAGGAGCTATTGCATGTTTGGTAATTGATGCTAATCACTCTAGTACATTTAGCCATTTCGTATCAGCTCACTGATACTGAGGCTCAGAAAGTGGTTCACTTGCTGTTAATGGATTTGATTGCCCCCTCTGTGGTCCAGGAACAGCCTGCCTCAGCTGTGGGATTTCAGCTCAGCACGGAAACCTCCAATTCTTCTAACAGAGTGGGAATGACAGAAGTGAAAGGACACAGCAGAGCCAGGTGGCAGGTCAGCTGGGATTAAATAACAGCCCTAAGTGAGCAAGCATATCATCCACATGGCGCTTTATAGACGGTGTGCTGTTAGGAGAGGAAAATGCTGTACAACCTGAAAAGCTGTACATACACATTCAAACTTGTTTGAAGGGCATGTGTTTTAGACTACTGTAGACAGCTGTTGATTGGCTGTTTCCTAATCCCTGTCAAGTGCATATAGATGATAACTCCCTTTTATTCTTACTGGAGGCTATAAAGAAGCTGGCACATTTAATCCTTTTGAAAGGAGTGCTGTCATTGTAGGGGCCAGGGGTCAGGGGCCAGGGCAGAGTCCTGCTCTCTCTAGGGAGATTGAGAGACCCTAACTGGGCCCTGGCTTTGGTGACAACATAGCTTGGAAGTTCTGTGGGCAGGGTTGGGTTTGTTAGAACCACTGAATTCTCTGTTCCCACCCCAAGGTCCAGGGGACAGTGACCGTATACAACAGAAGGTAAAGGGCTCATAAGTGGACTGAGGCATTTCATCATGTTGGAGTGTAGGGGTAAAGCTTTTAGTTAGAGTTGGCCAGTATCTTATTTTTCTTAAATAAGACCAATTATTTTTTAGTTATGTAGATGATAGTATTTCAAATCTCAAGTTCTGTGTGGCTCACATTGAAGTCTTAAACATTTTTAAGTTCAGGAATCATTTCCTAAGTTATAATAAGAATATAAAATTTTACATAATTTGTCAGCTTAAAAATATTCATTCATATTATCATATTCATCCTTTAAATGCTGTGGGCTAGGCCTTGAGGTCATACCATAAAGAGATTGTCCAGGCTTCCAAAGAGCTGAAGAGGAGTAACATACATTACAGTGGGGTTAGCATGGGTTCTTCAGAGGGATGCTCATCTACTTGTCTGGCGAGAAGGGCCAGCTCTATCATGGATAAGGTGGTGGCAGCAGGAGGGAGGAGAGGGAAGTAGGAGAAAGTGAATGTCTAGAAGACAGAGTGTGCACTACATATGGTCTGGGGACAGTGCAGGCTGGCAGAGCCCAGGGTCTGGTGCTAACAGTATCAGCAGTAAGACAAGTGAGGCAGGAGCCAGACCTGCATGATCTCAGTCCAGGCCAAGGTGTAGGTGCTCTTCTAAGAGCAGTGTGCAGCTGTTGGAGGCCTTGGAAAGGGACAAGATATTCAGATTTTGCTTTCAGAAAGTACCAGAAGATGCCAGAACGTGGATGAAGTGGCTGCACTGGAACAGTCGCATGTACAGGGGAAGCCATGGTGACTTGTGGAGAGATTTAGGAGGTAGAAGGGATGTAAACTTGTACAGGTGTCTTATGGTGGGAAACAAGAGGATAGATCAGAGAACCATATCTGGCCTTCTGGTTTGGTGCCTGAAGAACGGATGACAGTTCTGTCATTAGGATTAGAAAGCCGTGAGGGAGAGTGGCATGCGTTCCTGTGGGGACATCACTATTGCTTTTGACTTGTGTGTTCATCTTAAACACCACATAGCATACATATAGCAGGACAGAGCAAGAAAAATGGCTCTCTTAACCTGATGAGTGAGTTCTTCCTTCCTAAGCAAAGCATTTCTTCTTGCAGGAGTTTCAGGGGCATGCTGTGCTGCTGGGCAGTAGACAGAGGGGATCCCCACTTTATGGCATACCAGTGCTCAAGACCCCATAAAATAGTTCTTTCTGGGAGCTAATTGTGTCTGTTCCCAGTGGAGCTGGGGAAGACCATGGTGAGGTTCCTTTACCTGCCTGCCAGCTCCTGTGTGTTAGGAAATTGCAGTGATCTATAAGGGTTTTTCTTTTTTCCTTTTAAGTTTATTATAAGCATTTTCTCGGGCCATTAGATATTCTTCAAAAACAGTTTTAATGGTTATATGATAGTATGTTTTATTCAATAAACCCTTTTAGTATTTACCAAGTGACACTGTTGTAAGCATTGCATAGATGTTAGCTGTCAATTTTCATAGTAACTGTAAATTCAGTACTATCATTTACTTAATGATAAGAACCTGCAGAGATGTAAAATAATATGTCTGAGATTGTACAGAATGATGTTCAGATTCAGGTGGTGTCCACAACCATTGACTTGTGTTACATAGGACATTTCAGTTCTTCTTTGTCTGCATATTTAGGTCATATTACCCTCCTAGTATAAATTAATGCTGCTCAGTGCTTTCTGCAGTACCCAGTGAGCTTCCCTGCAGAGGGCAATCTCTGGGATGCTATGCAGTGTTGCCATTGCTTAGGAAAATAGGCAGTGTGTCATAGTGAGAGGAGGCTCCACGAGCAGAGCAGGCTTCCGAGCTTCTGAACTATGGCTGTCATGCATGCTTTCTAGAGCAGTAAAGATATATTGAAATTCCATGGGCTGGAAGCTCTGGTAGATGGGACATCTTCATACAGAGTGAAGCTGCTGTTGTGCTCTTAGGGTAGGATGCACTGTGTATTATCTGGACTCGTAAGAAACAGAAGAAGGGAGGAGGCTTTTTGTTGTGTTTTGTTTTATTTTTACTTTCTTCTTTACTATTGATGTTGGCTTCCAAGTGTACCGTTTACTGTTTGTTCTTAATTCCTGCATCCACTAAGGGATGAATGTATTTGTCCAGATTTTTCCTACTGTTAACCTCAGTAGCCTTTTTCCTTAAAGAAAGCATCAGTAAGTTTTCATAGTTTATTTTCTTTTTTGAACCATTTAGGGTTTTTGTTGTTGGCTGCTGGTCAATTTCTCTACTGTCTTTCATGGTTGTGTTTTCTCCTTGGACTTTTGGGTATAGGTTCGAGGGACTAGGCCCCACTATAATTGTCTGCCCAACAACAGTGATGCATCAGTGGGTGAAGGAATTCCACACGTGGTGGCCTCCATTCAGAGTGGCGATTCTACATGAAACAGGCTCCTATGCCCACAAAAAGGTAATGGTACAGCGATTGACTGCATAGTTGGCTTTCTTTTTTCCTTTCAAATGTGCCTACATATGTTTCTTTCATTTTAACTTATTTAATTATTGACTTGTAAGTCCATATTATCAATCAGTTGTGAACAAAGGCTTTCTTGTTTAATAGTCTGGGAGTGTGTTTTGATGTCCAACAAAACATAGCTGAGCACAGATGGGGCCACAGGGTGATTGTGTGCATGGGATCACAAAAGGGTGGTCTGCATGGCATTTTACTGGAGGGAGCTTGACATTAGCAGCTTTAAGCAATTTGAGAAAAGTGAATTTGAAAAGTAACACAGACTGAGCATCTCTAATCAGAAATCCAAAATGCTCCAAATCTGAAGCTTTGAGCAATGGTATCATAACTGGAAGAGTCCATACCTGACTCATATGAGAGGCCACAGTGAAAGTACACACATACCAAAATGAATTGTGTAAGAACTTCCTGTAGATCTGCATGGAGCTTGCATTTGGATTTTGCATTTGGGTTAGGATCTAGCTCCAAGACACCTTAGCACATATATGCAAATACTCCAAAGTCTGACCTACTCCTGGTCCCAAAGCATTTTGAATAAGGAATATTTGACCTTAATTAATAAATACATCTGTAGTTATGCTTTTCACATATGTTTCTGATGCAGGAGAGGACAGTGTGTGTTACTTTGAGACTTTCCTAGGTGCAGATATTCTAATTTCCTTGTTTTGTCCTCTTGGATCACAGTGTGTTGGATATTGCAGTTCCTCCCATGCTTGCAGATTTAGCAACAGATACATTTCCTTCCTTCCTTCCTTCCTTCCTTCCTTCCTTCCTTCCTTCCTTCCTTCCTTCCTTCCTTCCTTCCTTCTCTCCTTCTGTCCCTCCCTTTCCTCCATGTCCTCCTTTTCTTCTCTCCCTCCCTCTTCCTCCTCTTCCCTCCCTCCCCACCCCTCCATGAGACAGCATTTCTATATAGCCCTAGCTGCCCTGGAACTCACTATGTAGACCAGGATGGCCTCAAACTCACAGAAATCCACCTGTCTCTGTTTCTCAAATGCCAGGATTAAAGCTGTGTGCCACCATACCCAGCTACAGGTAGATTTTTAAAAAAGAAGGCCTTCCTTCTTTGGTCCTACATTCTGTAGATGTGTTACACCAAGCTGGTTTTTTTTTCCTTTTCATCTGTTTCAACATCTAGACTGTAGACTAGATACTGCATATCTCAAACATGACAAATATTTGCTTAATAAATAGTATAATAATAGTCTCAGGCTTAGAGGCTTGCAGGCTTCAGTCCTGTCAGCTGGTAGCGTGTCCATGTTCTTGATTTCTTGAGTCTGCTCACCTCCTGAGTGAGATGCAGTGCCAGTCATAAGGGCCACAGAGGCTTCTCCTTACCCAAGAAGCACTCTGCAGCCGCTGGACTCCTGGTCTCTGCGAATTCCCATGCACTCATGACTTGAGATAAGCAAAATTTTTGATAGAAGTAGATCAGAAGTATCTATATCAGTCACTGTCTTTGCCCAGAATTTTAAAGGATAGGTAGAAAACAAATTGAATTGAGACAGCAAAAAGAGCAAATGCTGTGACTGAGAAGAAATGGCTTTTAGTGGTATGGAGGCAGTGAAGGTTCAGGAGCCATTCTCGTACTCTGAGCTGCTGACTGCTGTGGGGCGCTGGGTGAGACATTGCCCTGTTTTCATCTTACTATTTCTTGACATCTCTTAATGGCTATGTTGTAAACCCAGATAAAGAGTAGTCTTTATATATTGACTAACTAGTGGAAAGATAGTTGATAGTGAGCCTGTTGGAAAACTTGGGACCCTTATCTGTCGGAGGGCAACGCCTTAAGGACTAATGTGTCGCCTTGGTTAACAGTAGCTCCAACTTCACCTTAAGGACTAGTGTGTCACCTTCGCTTACATCAGTTCCAACTTCTATGCTGTTCTTATTTGTGGTGGTGTGTTTTTTGAGAATTTCATTCTGTAGCCCTGGCTGGTCTTGAACTTGTGACCCTCCTGCCTCTACATCCCTCATGATGAGGATCTCCCTGCTACACTCACATGCATGCACATGGTTGTTTGTTTTTTTCCCCCACTGCTTTTCATTACAGTTTTTTTTCCTCACAGAAAAAAATTGTATATGAGTTGATTAATATTTATTTGTGGAACAACTATAAATGCTAGAGTCCAGGTGTTTCATATTGTTAGGTCTCAGGAAGAAAGGGGCATGGTGTTTTAATTAATCTTGAAAAGCCAACTTTGGAAAGAACACACATGAAAGATAATGAAGGAAGACAGTCTGTGGTGCTTATCCCACCACGCTGCACAGTGGGTGGTGCCTCATTAGCACTGTTTTGAAAAGCTTATTTAACAGTTAAGAGTCATCTTTTCAGTTTGCTAGAAGATGTATCATGAGAGGCTGCTTGTATTCTAAAATAACCGTTATGTCTCCCACCTTTTCCTGATATGTAGGATCTGGTGATTTTGTGGACATTTTAGATAATCCAAAGAGTTTTGTCTCATTTTGATCAACTCATGCCCCTAGAGCCCTAGACATGAAAAAAGAAAAAAAAAGCCCCACCCACCTCCTGAAGTTTCAGGAGGACAAAGTTTGTTTACTGCAGCAGGGTTTGAGCGGCACATGCCTGCATACACGCCTGCTGTGAAGGAATTGTGAAACTGGTGTTTTACTGGCTTCTCTGAGACTGGTTTGATGATCTACAGTTTGAGAATTTTGATAATTTTGTGAAGGTTTATTGAGGTAATGTGCATGCATGAAGAACATTGTGTGTTCCCTGACAGGTAACAGTGACTCACTTATTTTCTCAATAGCAACATAGCATATTATAGGCCTTGATCCTGGTAGTTGAGAAAGATGGCCCCAAAGACTATTTGGTATACGTTCTAGATAGTAAAGTTCATCATAATCCTCTTATCAAAAGTGTTCATGCCCAATGTTTAGATCTTTTCTTCTCATGTCATAAATGAAAGAATGATTTAGAATGTTACAGTTCTTTTTGGGAAGTACAAGGTCATGGGATGGTTCAAAAGCAAAATAGTGCCTGGCCATCTGATGAGTGCTGTCTTGGATTCTTTACAAAGGCCTGCTTTCTGGAACAGGAGTCAGCACTTGGCTTCTTTAAAAGTAGAAAGTGGGGCTGGAGAGATGGCTCAGTGGTTAAGAGCACTGACTGCTCTAGCAGAGGTCTTGAGTTCAATTCCCAGCAGCCACACGGTGGCTCACAACTATCTGTAATGGAATCCAGTGACCTCTTCTGGTGTGTTTGAAGACAGTAACAGTGTACTCATATACATAAAATGAATAAGTAAATCTTAAAATAAAAGTAAACAGGGAGTGGGTGAGATAGCTCCATGGGTAGAAGTGCTTCTGCACAGGTTTAATGATCCTAGTTTGATCCCTGGATCTCATAAGGTGGCCTGAGAAAAATCACTCCAGAGACTTGTCCCTTATTGCCACATGCGTGTTGTGACAACACATGGAGACAGGCGGACAGACACACTCACATACCCTCACGCAGTGAGAACAATAAATAAACAAATGAAAATTAACTGCAAAGGGAGAGGGAAAAATAAAACCAAGTCAGAATAGGAAGGGTGGCCATACACATCTTCAGGTCTCCTGAACATTTCAGACCCATTGCAAGCACAATTACAAAGCAAGGTGTTGTGTTTCCTAGTAACTCAGAGCTGCTCTGTGCACTGATATGAGGAGCCATAGACACTCCGTTTGTTCTGTGAGGTACACTGTAAAATTACATTGCTGGAGCCCTCTTTTCTTCGTTGTCAGCACAAATCCTTGTTTATTAAAGATTTAGCTTGAAGGAAATTTTAATTAATTACAGGTGCAGTAAATCCTGCCTGGGAAGCTGCCGCGTGTTTACTGTGAATGGCCTTCATGTGCCTGTGCTTCACTGGTTTTCCCCGCTGCCTGACAGTGTGATTTATGGCTGTTGTTTTCTACCAGTCCACTGTTTGCCCTCTAGGAGGGATTGGTCTCCTGAGCCTCCGTAATAACGGCAGCACTTCCTCAGACATCTTTTAATGACAACAGTACTACATTCAGTAAGTCAGGCTAATTGCAGATGTACCCTATTAATTGCAAAAACTAGGAGAGGTTACATATTTTACAAGCTTTTAATTTGAAACCGCCCGAGATGATTTGTCTTAAGTGTTTGGATTGAGACGTCCATAATATTCAACAATTCACCATCATTGAAACTCCAGTCCAGGCAGTTATAGAATTCTGAGATTGAATCAGGTGAATATCAATAGTCAGAGATGGGTTGTTATCTAGTAGAGATTGTATTTTCATTGTGAACATTTTTGTACAACTTCTTGTTCTTTCTGTAAGGCATCTTTAAAATTCTTTATGATCATTATACATCTTTCTGAACACAGTATAAATAGGAATTCTGTGGTTCTATAGTTAACATTGTAGAATGTCCCAAATAAGCTTCAGTTCTTAGGCAATCACAAGAAGCTCCACATTGCTCCAGTGGCGTACATTTAGCAGGTCAGTGTCTCGCTAGTTTAACTATGATAAAGCATCTAGCTACCTGAGTGATTTCAAGAACTCATTTTGGGATTGGGCACCTTAGGGGTAAGTGGGTGACCATGGGGAGCCTGTGCAACAGTTGGAAGTCCCAGGGCCCAGGAACAAGTGAACTCACATTTTCAGGGCTTAGCCAAAGGCAGTCAAATGATTGTTTTGTAGATTCAAGTGGTGGTTTAACTTCCACTGTTTATTTCAAGCCGTGGGCAACTATAAATATTCTCTGTTTCTATCTCTTAACGTGCACAGCCAACACCAGGACAGCAGGACACAGCTGACACCCAGACAGCACTCAGGCATGGAGCATCCATTGCCGTCACTTTATGCTCTACCTACTCCATGGCTTTGGGGTGCCCTTGCTCTCCTGGAGGGAAACAGGGATAGAACTGGGTGCTGCTTGCCTAGAATCTTGGAAGAGTATGCAGATGTGGAGGAAGTGAGGGAATTAGCTCTAGCGTCTCAGAGTTATGGGGTTCATGGGTGAGGTTAGGGGGTGAAGTCTGCCCCTTGCGGTGGTTCTTCTCTACACTGACCCCTACCAGCCGAAGGAATGGCGTGCTTTAAGGAGGATTGAGTCTTAGTTGCCTGCTCATGTTTGCAAGGCTGTGCACCAAAATAATTAACTTATTGGTGTAGTATTCTGCATTAGACACTGAACTTTTCAAGTGATATATGGCAAAAGAGCAGTCACTATAAGAATACAGTTGATGCTTGCTGGGGCTTTATAAGCTCCTTAGATGCCTTGTGTGCTTCAACACACGAGCAATTTCCCACCTCAGTTTCTCCTTAATACTCCTTTATACATGCACGCACACACAGATGGATACACACTTAAGTGTCATCTGTATACCCTGTTTTGAGACAGGGTCTCATTGTGTAGCTGAGGACAGCCCTGAAACTTTGGATCCTCTGACCTCCATCCCCAGAGTGCTGAGATTACAGGTGTGTACCAACCAAAACCAGTTTTTTCAGTTCTGGGAATTGAACCCAGGGCAGCCTGTGTGTTAGACAAATACCTGTTATCTGAGGTGCTTGTTAACCCCACATGAATTTTTTTCATTTGCATTTGCTTATGCTTGTGTGAGTGTGACAATAAGCTCTTGTGTACCATGGTACTACATATGGAGGTGAAGACAACTTGTGGGAGTTGTTCTCTCTTTGTGCTTTGTGAATTTTTGGAATTGAACTCTAGTTGTCAGTCTTAGTGGCAAGTGCCTTTATCCACTGAGCCAGCCTCATCCCTCCCTTTCTTTGAGCTAGGGTTTTATTGTACAGTGCAGGTGGACTTGAACTTATAAGCCTCCTGCCAGATTAACTGCTCCCCCAGTTGGTCTGATTTTTCTTGTGCACCTTCTCTTTTGAATGCTTAATTTTTGAGGGTTTCTGATCTGCAGAGATAGCTCTGCATTCACTCCATAAGTGACTTGTTTCAAGCTACACACTGCGTCTGTTCTTCAGTTTGTCTTTTCAAAGAATTACTTATTTGTTGGTTCTGTCCATTATTGTTTTGGCTTTGAGACAGGATCTGACTGGCTGGCCCTGGCTGGCCTGGCACTTCCTACGTGAACCCTGTGTTCTGAGTGCTGCCATCACACAGTCTGTCGTTTTTTCTCCCATGCCTCTTGAGTTGCTTGTGTGTCTGGGTTTGTGCTTTCCGAGAGTGTGCATGTAAAGGATTGAGATCTCCATGTCTGAGCCATACTATGAGGAACAGCCCTGGCAGCATGCTCAGGTCCTGTGTCCTCAGTTTGAGTCATGTCTTTGCTTGGCTTATTCCTTGACCCTGACCCAATTGGACCCCTGACCCAATGCCAGAAGCTGTCCAGATTGCTTTGGCAGCTTTGCCCATGGTTGTTACAGTGTTTTATGCAGGTAAATGTTCCTGGTCTTTTAAAAAAAAAATGTCATTCCCTTTTAAGAGATACAATAAGTAAGATAGAAGATGTATCTGATATTTTTATTGTAAATTCTGCCCTCTCTTTTTTGCATTTTCTTGGTGTATCTTTGCTGATCCCCAGTGTCCTGTATCAGTCTGTATAGGTATCCTTTAAGCTCAAGGCTGTGTTTTTGTCTTCCTTCCTCAGTATGTGCTCTTATGTGAGGTACATGGAGGTCAGAGAATACCTTTGTTAGAAGCAGCTCTCTTTCCACCATGCAGTGGGTACAGGGTCACACTCAGGTCACCAGGCTTGTGGACAAGCGTCTGTATTCACTGAGCTGCCTCACTAGCTGAAGACCTTGTCTTAAAGTAAAGGTGGACAATACCTGAACAACATTGGAAGTTATCTTCTGGCCTCCACATCCATGTGAACACATGTGCGCATGCGTAGAGAAGGTGGAGGTTTGGGTCCACTTTGATATTCATTCCCCTCATTTCCCCATAGACTTTATTAATTAAACAGAAATTACAGTAATATTTAAAATATATCCCTTTTCATTATTTAAAAGTACTCTATATAATACTTAATGTTTTAGCAGGCCTTTTAAAGACATTTGTGCATTAACACACAATTTTCACTCCAGAGCTTTCTTGTGTAATATGGTAAGCAGCAGTGCAGCCTAATACAGGACGATGGTAGCTTTGGAGTGGGCTGCCTTTAGCCCTGGAACCCCGACTCCACCGCAGGACCTGATCCCAGCCATAGTTTCTGTTTGTAGATGAGGAGTTCATGATGGTCACTGTCCTTGCTCCAGGAGTTGGTCTGAGCATGCTCTCTGTCAGGGCACCACCCCAGTAGCTTTCTGTGGGAACATCTCACCTGTACTTCCCTGTGTGCCTGGACAGCTTCTAGGTGACTTATTTTTTGAACTCCTGACTCACTGAAGTCCCGCTCAAGCAGGATTCTAGCTTTTGACCTTTCCCTGATAAGAATTATATATTCCTCTTCAGAAAAATTATTTATTTCTGACATTTCTAGATCTCAGAAAGATGCTCAATGAGGACTATCTCCTTAGAAGGAAAACTTTTCCTTATGCTCTCAGCCCAGACATTTCTTCTTTATTCAAATTAAATTTGAAGATTCAGTCATCTAGGCAGATATGCGCGGGATAAGACCTTCCATGATTTTGCTGACATTTGGAGATGTTTTTCTCCAGACTCAGATCTCCTAGCTGTGGGAATTTGTATTACACTTTACGTGTTCTTGCCCTCACACCATTCTTATGTCTATATCTTTGACTGTTTCTTTCACTTTCCTGCTTTTGTTGTAGTGATCATTTTCCCTCAACTTTGTTTTAAAGATGTAATAGGGACAGACACAAAGGGTGATTTAGAGAAGCAACAGTTGAACAAACAATCTCATTTCTATGACTACCTTCTTTGAGGGTCCCACTTTAGTGTGTTTACTATTTTGCAGATTAACCAAATACAAAGTCCTGATGTATGGTATTAGATTTGTATGTGTGTTTGTATATTTTTATGGTGTGTTTTAGGTGGTCTCATAATAATCCAAATCTAACCTTTTGCTTCTTACTTACATCTGCCCTTACTGTGCTATTGTGGTTCTAGGAGAGGCTGATTCGAGATATTGTTCATTGTCATGGAGTTTTGATAACTTCGTATTCCTACATTCGACTGATGCAAGATGACATTAGCAGACATGACTGGCACTATGTCATCTTAGATGAAGGACACAAAATTCGAAATCCAAATGCTGCAGTCACCCTTGCTTGCAAACAGGTATCGGTGCTTACAAAGAGGGGGGTTTTGGATGAGTAGTGATATTTAATTTTAGGACAAGCTATTTGCTTTATGAATACATTTATTGAATTTTATTTCAGTGTAGAAAATTCCTTATACTTGTTCTTTGTGACTTTCACTGTTCAGGTCTTTTGTAAGGGTCATCTGTTAGAATGTAACCAAGCCCCACTCTAATAGGTGCTGGTTAACTTAAACAAGACAGAATTCTTCTCAGTGTTTTCTTCTATATGCAGTTAGAAAATTGGACAATATACCCAGTTTGGAGAGGACCAAAAAAATGGGCAAACGATAATGATGATTAAACATGTTAAGTAACAATTACATGTGCTTTAGGATTGATGGCATTTATCTGTTACAAAGTAGATTTCATAAAATAATGTTTCCTTTCCTCATCTAGTTCCGAACACCTCATCGGATTATCTTGTCTGGCTCACCAATGCAGAATAACCTCCGAGAGCTGTGGTCACTCTTCGACTTCATCTTCCCAGGAAAGCTAGGCACATTACCTGTGTTTATGGAGCAGTTCTCTGTCCCCATCACCATGGGAGGATATTCCAATGCTTCCCCAGTACAGGTAATATGATAGGCAGTAACACTTTTGGCATTTCCCTAAACATTATACTTTGTAGCCAAGTCATTGACAGTGTTAAGGAAGATGGCCAGGCTTATAAATTGGTGTCTGATAAAAATCAGAAATTATCCCTACTCAGTAGATTGTATTTTTACAGATAAAATTTTTTAAAAATTCATGTATACCATTTACTTAAGGAAAGCACAAGAATAAAACTTCCCTTTTCACAAGAGAAAGGAAATGGTTCTGTGCTAGTTTCTGTGGGAAATGTCATTTACAATATTTAAAAGTAATTTTGGAAGTGAGCACAAGTGCAGTGAGGTGTCATGAAAAGGATTGAGCCGTTGGACAGATCCACCTTGCTGTCCACCAGGGTAGTGTTCCTTTCACAGTGAGGAGAAGTGCACTGGAAGCTAGCACAGTGAACCATGCCTTAACCTGGTCACAGAGTGTGTTGGAAAAGCTGAAACTAGGGGCCTTGGGAGGAAGTTAGTGGTTGCTGAGGGACAACAGGAAGGGATTTGATCCAGCAGGTAGAAGGTGGCAATTCTTGGGGTTGTTTGGGCTGCAAGTAGTCATGAGAAGGCCGGCATTAGAGGAGTTGGGGGTTTGAGGGTGAAGTGAGGAGCTGGACCAAGACTTAGATGGTGGTCTTGGAATAACATGGTTGGATATTTTTAGGCAGGATAAATAAGTAGGGTCTAGATGCTGATAGAATAAAGCAAACAGGGTTGGGCTTGGTGTACCTCACTGAGGCTTTAGGCCTGGGCCATGGATAGTTTTGGGTTTGTATAGAATTTAGAGGGTGAGGCTCTCCTGAGGGCAGTCTGTGACCTATGGAAGCAGACCCCAGACCTGCAGTGAAGTAGGATATTTGTGTGTCCCTATTCAGATGGGGAGGTACCTCATGGGTCCTTGCTAGGCCAAGACCAAAGTCCTTCTTCAAACGATTGATGATCTGATGTTTTGGAATACTTAATTACAAAAGCAATTTTGTACCTTTAAAACCAGAGGCTTATCAAAACCAGTTTTAATGGCTCTCTCTTTTGTGACTAAATGGTGGGTTGTGTTTTATAAATTGTGAAATTTAACATCTCAGCATTACAAATCATCTGTACCTCATCTCCTTACAGGTTAACTTTTATCATTGTCCCCGTGGTCAACTTAGAGGGTAGAGGTTGTTATCAGGTTAGCCTCTTGGTGTTGCAGGTACTGCCTGTATTTTGTAATTACTCACGTCCATTCACAGAGCACTTGCATGCAGACTGGTGTGCATATACGATGCAGACACAAGTGAAGAGTCCTTAGGGTCTATCCAAATAGTATGTATTTAATGTGTTTAACTTGAACTCTTCTGTGTTTATTTTGCTTAAGCTTTTGAAACTATGTTTCTTACATTTACATTTTAGATTTTTGTTTTATGAATAATAATTTACTAAATTGTTGAACCTATTTAGAGTTTTTTAAAGTATCAATAATTAATTGAAGCGTTTGCTTGCCCGTAAGTGAATTGCGTAGGGTGTGGCTTCCCAGGCTGCAGGTCTTTGTTTTTCTGTGTACAGTTAATGCTCTCTCATGTGGCCATGTCCATTATGGGGCCATATGCTCCATTTTAGGGCAGAGCGACCTTTCCTTTGTGGGATCATAGGGCTGCTCTTGAGCTCACTCCCCGGAGTCTACTCTCCCTGTATTAGCCAGTGGGCGGCTCCCACTGCTCTCATCAGACTTAGCTTTTGATCTCTACCCTGGCAGAGCCCAGTTCCTTTGCAGCTCCTGCAGAATACAAGATTATAAATAGGGATTTATTTGAAACTAGTTTTCCCCCTGGAGGATGGTCAGTAACCAAATAAGTCTTTACTTTCCTGCTTAACTAAATAGTACAGTGATAATTAAAACAGTATAGAAGAGGAGATAAACTGTGATTTAACAGGCTTTCTCTCATATATTTTGGATAATGAGGTAGGTAATTTATTTTCTCCGATGATATTATTTCGAAAGGTGCCATCATCTGGAGCATCTAGAACTTGACTTTTTCTTCTTCTTCTTTTTTTTTTTGTTGTTTTTTGTTTTTTTGTTTTTTTTTGAGACAGGGTTTCTCTGTGTAGCCCTGGCTGTCCTAGAATTCACTCTGTAGACCAGGCTGGCCTCAAACTCAGAAATCCGCCTGCCTCTGCCTCCCAAGTGCTGGGATTAAAGGCTTGCGCCACCACTGCCTGGCAACTTTTTCTAAGTTGAATTTATAGACCAGTTGATCATTCTTTAGTTTTTAAGAAGTGGAATCAATCGAGAAGAACAGCTATATTCCTTAGCTAATATCTCTTTTCTTTTATTAAAGGTTAAAACTGCTTATAAATGTGCATGTGTCTTAAGAGACACGATAAACCCGTACCTACTGCGGAGAATGAAATCAGATGTCAAGATGAGCCTTTCATTGCCAGATAAAAATGAGCAGGTTTGTGAATCTGGAGGTGGCCAAGCAGTGTGTCTGTGTAACTTACTGGGCCTATAGCTTTGGTCCTGGCACTGTGGGCAGGCTGGTCTACTTGTGACTGTACCCATTTGTGGCATCTTCCCATGGCTGGGATTTTCCTCTAGCTCACAGATGAGCCTGACTTTACAACTACTGGAAAACATTACATGTTCCTTAAGCCCCCAGTTCTTTCCTGCAGACATCAGCTCTCTGAGACACAGCAGTCAGCAAACAGACTTGTGATCATAAACCTCATAGGTTCCCAAATGAGTAAAAAATATGAGGGTGTTGTCACTAAGTTGGGAAATAAGACATGTTGAAGGAAAAGGCTTTCTCTAGTAATAGTCAGAGGACATGTTGAAGGAAAAGGCTTTCTCTAGTAATAGTCAGAGGAGACCTTTGATCTGATAATTGTGCTGAGGCCTAAGGAAGGTCAGAGAACAAATTGTTTAGGATTTGGATGAAGAACATTATGGGCAAAAGATGGGGCAGTATGTTAGTACTTGTGGGCCAGTAGGAGTGCCAGGGTCGCTAAAGCTGGGAGCATAAGTTGATGTCCTTGGACAACGTCCACTTGCATATGAGGTTGAGGGATGTGAGACGGTTTTAGGATGGCCATAGCTGAGACTGTGAGCTGGTAAGGTTGCAGTTCTGAGCACAGATTGATTACCTAAAGAGCACATGGAGACCAAGAAGACGCAAGCAGCTGAAGCAGCATCAGAAGAGAGGGCAGAAGACAAGGAACTAACAGGGGAGATTGCAGAGGCCCAGGCAGATAGGCTGAAGTGGGCTAGGAGGAGGTGTGGCAGGAGCTGGCAGAGTGAGGGGCAAACAGCTGATCTGGGAAGAGCCTGGTGCACAGGGTGGCTCTGAAGTCAGTTCTGATGCCTGGGTGTTCTCAGTGGCATCAGTGACTTGTACCAGGTGCTGGCTTTCGAAGCAGCAGGCCGGTGAGGGCTGTCCCGTGTTTTCTCAGGATGCTCCCCCCTTTCCCTGGAGAGAACCTAATAGGCAGGGGGCTGTCCTTCGGAAGACAGGTACATGCTCAGATCCAGTGCAGAGGTTGAAGGTCCTGGACTGGACTGGTCTTGTTCGCCTATATGAAGTAGATGCAAAAGTAGAGCTGTTTTGGAGATGGGAATCAAACAAGATACAGATCCTGATAGCTTCAGGTTGATTTCTGTTTGTCTGAATGTTTGTGATTAGATATGGAGACAAAGATGGCTGATAGATGGATGGCTTAGGAAGCCCCAGGGCATTAGCACGACTATTCAGGGACTTAGATGGTACTAGGAAGGGTGTGTGGGGAAATGCTGTAAAGAAAGTCAAGCCTTGAGGTGGAGGTGGTAGACTTAGAGAGAAGGAATGAAAGGCAGACAGTGGGCAGTGTGATGTCATGGAATAACTGACCCCAGTGGACTGGGAGGGTGGGAGTTGCTGTAAGGGCCTGGTGAGCTTATGACCCCTTAGAACGGGGAAGTTCCAGGTGAGGTAAACGTTCCTGCCAAGTCAGCCAAACAGAGTGTAGTCGAGAGGCCTGGGGAAGAGTCTCTCATCAACATTGAGTTGAAATGAAATGTGACTGTGTACTGGGGTCCTGAGATGATGGCCTGTGAGCAGGAGGCTAGTCTGGAGGGTCATGGGTTGGAACTAGGAGGTGGATGGCTATGGAAAAGGGAAAACCTCTTTAGCTGAGAGATGTATCATTGTTAAAATTGTGCACCCTTCTTAGAAAAGGGAATCTTACTTATAATTAATGCATTTTTTAAAACTATTTATTTCCTTTTCCCTTGCAGGTCTTATTTTGCCGTCTGACTGAGGAGCAGCATAAAGTCTACCAGAATTTCATTGACTCCAAAGCAGTTTACAGGATTCTCAATGGAGAGAATCAGGTCAGCCAAAGAGCAGACTCCAGAGGGAGCAGTTGTTATCAAGGGGGGTGGGGCAGGAAAGGAAAGGGGTTTAGATTGTGCCAGACTTTGTGCCCACATTGTTCACCCACCTGCCATCTATGGAGTGGCTCCTGAGTCACAGCTACAGCTGGAGACAGGTGTGACACGAGGAGCATGGTCACTGGTGTGAGGGGAGCCATGCGAGAAAGCGGCACTCAAGGTGGGGTGTGGCCCGAGTCCTACCGTAGCCCACGGCTCCTGCCTACCTCACAGGGCATGGTGCCCAGTACATTGCATGGTTTTCTCAGAAATTATGACTACAATTATATTATCAGGACATAATTATCAAGATGTGCAAGTTTTATCAGTTTCCCAGTTAGCTTCATGCCCAATAAGCGCTGGCAGAGCATTACCATCTTAGAAACCAGACAACATTCTGGATCAGATTTCTCAGGTTCTAAGCCTTACTTTCCCCGGCATATGAAAGGAATTTATTTGCTCATTTTAGAATTTGGAAATTATTAGACAATGTCTACTCAGGAAATCTTGTTATATAAGTCACAGAGATATGAGAGTTTGGCTTTCTAGAATACTTCCCACTGTGGAGCGTCCCAGCGCCTGACATGAGAGTATGAGGCAGAGATTACAGTGTCTAGGAACATCATGGATCAGTGAGACATGAGAGCCATAAGCCGGCCATCTGAATTTTACTGAGCTGGACAGTTGGGTTAGGTGTTTTCTGTGGCCCTTGTGAGGTCATTTTGTGAGACCTGTAACTGGATCTGCAGCCCTTCCAGAAGTGAGGAGTTTGTTACATAAGAGGACAGACATGCTGCTTGCTCCCCTCCACCATAGACCTGGTGCACTTGGATCCAGACCGTGGAAGAAGAACTGAGGAGTGGGCCCGCAGTGGTGTGGCTTGCAGGGTTAGGAAAGCCTAGCCCGCCAGGGTATGTGGCATCTAAAGAGGCCATGTTTTCACACACTGTTCCATGGTGGCATTGTCAGCATTCAGCATGACTGTGTCAGGGAGTCTGTGTGCTAGGCTAAAGCCGAAGTTTTTCACACCTTGCACATAGTTTCTCTGAGTCACATGTAACTTTGCTAGGGCCAAGTAGACAAGTTCTTGTTTTTTATCCAGGCAGAGCTGTTTCTGTTTAGTGTTTTCAGAACAAGTCTTAGCAGCCCAGTGCATTCTGATATTGTGCCTTCCCCCTAGCAGGTGGAAGTTTTCATGTCCTTAAATGCATGCTGAGCCTTGCAGCCATGGTCATCACTCTGCCCTATTGTAGGTATATTTGAGCATGTTCAGAAGTCTACTCTGTCCTGCTTCTAGGCTCTGAGAAGGATAGGTGAGCTCACACAGTATGCCCTCCCCAGTCTCTGCAGTGGCTGCCTGTGTCCTCACCCTCAGGTGCCTACACTTTCAGATCAATCATTTTGACCTATTTGTCACTTCCCAGCACTTTCTTTTTTCTTTGCTTTGTTTTTAAATGTATGGATATACGTTTGTTTTTAAGTGTATGGGTGCTCTGCCTGCATATATGGATATCTGTGCACTTGTGTGTGCCTGGTGCCTATGGAGCCAGAAGAGGGTGTCAGATCACCTGGGACTGGAGTTAGAAGGCTGTGAGCTGCCATGTGGGTCTTGGGAATTGAGCCTGTGTACTTTGGAAAAACAACCAGTGCTTTTAACCATCAAGCCAACTCTCCAGCTCCAATTTTTTAAAAGATTTCTTTTATACATACGAATGTTTTGCCTACGTGTATGTAGGTTCACTATAACATACCACATACATGCCTGTTACCTATGGAGATTAGAAGAGGGCATCAGATCTCTTGGCTCTGAAGTTAGAGATGGGTATGGACCACCATTTGTGCTGGGAACTGGACCTGAGTCCTCTGTGAGCAATAAGAGCTCTAAACTGCTGAGCCATCTCTTCAGCCCAAGCAGTGTCTTATCTTCTGTATGAATAATTCTTCTTATTCAAAACCACTCACATCTCCTCAGCTATCAGCTCTCCCTCACGTGCCTCCAGGTCAGGTCAGAAGCTACTCTATCTAGTAAATACAAAAGGAAAGGCTTACATTTTCTAGAATCGTGTTTAAAAGAAAAACAAGTGAACTGAATGAAGATCATATCTTTTGTTTCATTTGCAGGCCCAAAGTAGTTCATTATGTAACTTCGGCCTCTGTTCCATACACTAAAAACAGGGCTTTAAGGGACTTAGATATGTAAGACTGGGTGGGAGTCCTTTGGTAGGTGGGTCAGGGATGGGTATAATGTTTCTGCCATGTATTTTTAAGGTAAATTAGGTTTTAAGTTAGATTTTCTTTTAAATCAGATATACAATGCTGTGAACTAAATATCCTTTTCTCTGGTGAGGGAAGTTGAATTATCAGCAATTGACTATGACCTTTGCAGACATGTTCAGTCCAGTAAAATTGTTTTTGTCTGGAGAAGTTGTCCAGTCAGGGAAAGAACATGAATGAAAATTAATTTCTTCCAGCTTGTGTTGGTCAGTTTTCAATCACTATGACAAAATACTTGAAAAAATCAACTTAAGAAAAGTAGGAGGGCTCATAGTTTTCAGCCTGTGGCCCTCAGCTTGTGGCCCTTCTTAGGGCCACACAGCATTGCAGGAAGCACATGTGAGGGTAAAAATGTCTCACCTTATGGTGGCTGGAAAGCAGGGGCCTTAGAAAGGGATCTGGGGACAAGAAATGACTTTCAAGGCATACCTCCAGGCCCACTTCCTTCAGCTAGTTCCACCTCTTAATAGGCCATCGAGTTATGAAGCCATCAGTGTATCAGTCTGTTGATGAGATCAGAGCTTTCATGATCCAGTCACTTCCCAAAAGCCCCATATGTAGACACCACACCGGGGATCAGTGCATGTGGGACCTGGGGTGGGACATTCAGGATCCACACTGCATTTCAGTGTTGATGTAGAGAAGAAATCAGCAAGCTGGTAAAAATGACTGTAATCCACGTACCATGTTTGCCCTTCCTCCGTTCTATGTTACACCCATGTAACAATAGTGTTGTTGTTTTAATCACAGATTTTCTCTGGACTTGTAGCTCTGAGGAAGATCTGTAACCACCCTGACCTCTTTTCTGGTGGTCCCAAGAATGCCAGTGGTCTTCCAGCCGACGAACTGGAAGAAGAACAGTTTGGATACTGGAAACGCTCTGGGAAAATGATTGTTGTTGAGTCTTTGCTGAAAATCTGGCACAAGCAGGGTCAGCGAGTACTGCTGTTTTCCCAGTCGAGGCAGGTGAGTGCTCAAGTCAGCTTTCAGGACTGGTGACCACAAATGCAAAAGGTAGGATGTCACCCCTGGTGCTGAGGTGGCAGCCATGGGTCTCTTCACAGGAGGGAAAAGGGAAAAGAGTTGGTTTTTTAAAAGAACCCTCACAGCAGGATTCTGGCATCCTAGTGAGGCTGGGATACTTACAAATAATTAGCACAAATTCTTTGTTATTAATTCTCTTCCTCAAAGCAAGAAAAACCTTTTCAGTATAGGCCCTCTGGGGAAGGCACACTGCTTACGTATGTGGGGAAGCATGTGCTTGGAGCGTACTTGGTTTGCAGACTGTTTCCCTCATCCACTAACAGATGCTGCACATACTGGAAGTGTTTCTGAGAGCTCACAAGTATTCCTATCTCAAGATGGATGGGACCACCACCATAGCGTCAAGACAGCCACTGATTACAAAATACAATGAGGTAATGAGAGATGTGACTGAGTCAAAAAGACCACAGTATGTAGAGGGAAAAAGTGCACATGTCTACCCTCACAGTCACTGAACTGTCTTTGTGTCTGGCTTGCAGGTGAAGGGGACATTATCCTTTTGGGTATTCCCTTGTGTTTGTTAGTTTTTCTTTGAGACAGGGTCTTACTATGTAACCCTGGCTGTGTAACACTTGCATTGTAGACTAGGTTGACAGCAGACTCACAGAGATCCACCTACCTCTGCCTCAAAAGAACTGGAATGAAAGATGTGCACCACCACACCTAGCAGTGTGTGGCCTCTGAGTGTACAGTTGATGGTTTGGGAAGTGGGCATACAAGATTTAGAAATGAAGTGCTGAAATTTGAGAAGAGAATAAAGACACTGGTAACACATAGCCAGCGAGAATGTCTGTGTGTCTGTCTGTATTTATACAATTATTAAAAATTGTCAATATAATTAATAAAAGTAGGAGCTCTGACATGAGGACTTGTTTCACAGAGGATTCTGGGACATGTAGTTTGGGGTGTGGGTAAGCCACAGAGCCCATGGTAGGACCTGTGGGGGGAGTGAAGAGCTATAGCAGCTCTTAGCTCTGCTCACTTAGTTCTATATCTTTCCTGTAGGACACATCCATCTTTGTCTTTCTTCTGACCACACGTGTGGGTGGCTTAGGAGTGAACCTGACCGGGGCCAACAGAGTCATCATCTACGACCCTGACTGGAACCCAAGCACCGACACACAGGTCTGTCTCCCATGAAGAGAAGGAACCTACAGAGGGACAGCTTGTTAGAGGCAGTTTTTCTCAGTCTCTCTAATGTCATACCTGGCTTCACGTGCAGTCTGCATGGTGGTCGCATCCTGCTCCCTAATGAGAGGGCACATGGTCAGCCCTTTAGACTGGGGGAGCCTCAGCTGTCTCTCCACAGCATCCATCTCAGCTCTGCTGTGAAAAGTGCTCACAGTCAGAAACCTCTTGCACCCAAGCTGTCACGTGACTCTGTCCACTTGCTCAGGCCTCGAGTGCACGTTTCTTCTTAGACAGAATTCTCACTAGGGGATTGAAGGCCGTGATCAGTCACTGCTTTCTCTTGTTAGTTGGCTCTTGTTAAAAATCTCTCTTCCACAGGCCCGGGAGCGAGCATGGAGGATAGGTCAGAAGAAGCAGGTGACTGTCTACAGGCTTCTGATGGCCGGCACCATAGAGGAAAAGATCTACCATCGGTCAGTATAGAGGGCTGCTGGGCCTCATCATATCCTAACCTAGAGTTTTCAGGAAGAAGGGTTTCTATTATTTCCAAGTGTGGGCTTTAAAGTTCTTTTCATCTTAGAGGAATAATTACTATAACTTAAAGAATATCACACTATTTTGTGGTTTTGTTTTTTCTTTGCCATTAAAATATATTTTGATCTATTACTCTTTTTTGTTTGCTTGTTTGTTTTGTTTTGTTTTGTTTTGTTTGTTTGAGACAGGATTTCATTGTGTAGCTGTTGGAAGGCCTACAACTTACTATGTAAACCTGGAAGGCCTCAAACTCATAGGGATCCACCTGCCTCTGCCTCCCAAGTGCTGGGATTAAAGGTATGCACCACCACAGCCAACCTTACTGTTTTTAAAATATCTGAACCTAGTAGTTATTGTACCTTAATCTAAACCAGGGGCTCTTTATATGTAAATTTGAACTTGTTTTGTGAGGAAAACATTCTGACTTACTGTAGTGTGTCACTTGCTTGAGAAGTGACAGAAGTAAGGACAGTTTATTCAGAGACCCTTGGAGAGTTTACAGCATGTGCCCCTTCCTTTGACTTTCTTGTAACCAGGCAGCTCGAGGCAGCAGTAACTGCAGGGAGAGTCAAGACATTGCCAGCTTTTCCTGTGCCCCTCAGACTCCATTCTTGTCCCATATTCCAGGACCTGCATTGGCACTGTGCTGTTCCAGAACTATTTTGAGTCCTTGTAGGCTTATTGTCGGACCTGGTGATGAGATGCATCTTGTGAGAAAGGGTTAGCCTGAAGCACAGGGGGATAGGAGGGAATGGTGTTGCTTTGTGGTAATGCCTATGTGAAAAGGACAACAGTGTTGGAGCTTAAGCACAAAAGTCAGCCAGCAAGTGGGGGCTAGACAAAGAGTGAACACATCCACAGGACAGCACTGAGCAGGGCAGGGCAGCCTTGGCCCAGGGAGTCTGATTGGCTCCTTACAGCCTGTAGAGTTTGGGGTACATAAATTTAAAAAGGTTTGAAATGTGATAGGTTTTGGAGGTAAAACAAAAGTCATTGGGCATAAATAATAAGGTATCATTTCTAATTTAAATTTCATAAAACTTAGCCGACCACCTGATATATTATGTATGTTTTGAGTTTGTAATTTTCCGTGGCTGAAAGTTTGGGAGCTTTTTAATCATTCATAGATCTGCTGTTAGTATCTCTCTCACATTTAAAAAAAAAAAAACCCTTGATTTTTGTGTGCTTATGTTCTGTGTGCCTGTGTCTGTGTAGGCAGTGCCTGGAGAGGGGAGAAGAGGGTATTACATTCCCTGGGACTGGAGTTACAAGTGGTTGTGAGCTGCCTTGTGGGTGCTGGGAATTGAACCCAGGTCTTCTGGAAGAACAACCGGTACTCTTAACTACCAAGCCATCTCTTCAGCCCCTTCTCTCATGTTTTATAACTCGAATTTTGAAGTACAGCTAAACATTGTTTCATATCAATGTGATTTTATCTTTTTAGACAAATCTTCAAGCAGTTTTTGACAAACAGAGTGCTAAAAGACCCAAAACAAAGACGCTTTTTCAAATCCAATGACCTCTATGAGCTGTTTACTCTGACTAGTCCTGATGCCTCCCAGGGCACTGAAACAAGTGCTATATTTGCAGGTATTACATTAAGTTATTTAATTTAATCAGTTGCATAAGAATTCTGAAGTGTAACATTAGCTGTGTTTTCCCTGTTACAGGAACTGACTCCAATATTCAGACACCCAAATGCCATTTTAAAAAAAGGACCCTGCCAGTCCTAGGAATGGATCCCAAATGCAAGAAGCCCCCTGTTTCTAACATACCTGCAAATGGTGCCACTCTGATGGAAGAAAAATCTAAGGCAGCAGGAACTACAGGAAGTGTCAGTTCTGGAGAAAATGGTCCTTTGAAAGGCGACCATCACACAAATGGGAACAGAGCTAGCAGTGTTGCTTTTGCAGAAGAGACAGATGCAGGGTCCGTGCTGGCGCGTCTCTCAGTGATGAGTGGAGATGGGAAGCACTCAGATTCTCCAGCAGTTGACCAGACATCCAGGCCATCAGGGGAGATGAGCATCAGTGAGATGCAGGGTTCTTCCTATGAAGGGGAGTGCTGCCAGGCTCAGACAGAACCTGCTCACATGAGTGAACAAACGGAAGGCCGTTTCTCTAAGCACAAATCAAAAAGGAAACATGATGCAATGGAGGAAGAGACCACAGAGAAACGTCCACAGCCCAAGCAAAAGGCCAAGAACTCCAAGCATTGTAAAGATGCTAAGTTTGAGGGAACTAGAGTCCCACACCTGGTGAAGAGAAGGCGGTACCGTCAACACACCTCTGAGCAGGAGAGCGGGGCCAAGGACCAGAGCAGTGATGATTATGTTTTGGAAAAGCTTTTCAAAAAATCAGGTAATGATTTTGATGAATCTCTCACCTCAGTGCTAGGAAAGTGAATGTGGGAGCCGTGTCCAACATGGTAGTCTTTAACTATGAGACTAACATTTCGGAAATTGTATTTATCCCCCTTTTTGAAGACCTGAAAGAGTTTGAAACTTTCGGAAACAATAATACTTAACATACGATCATTTATAGTTGATCAGTTACCACAAATAGTCATGTGCTGCCTGAACGTTAGTAGGCATTTTCCTTTGGTGCTGTATTTATATGTTTTTCTAACTATAGGAGGTTAGAGGAACCGTTCATGGGAGAGAGGCAGGATGGACTCTGGCTAGGGGCAGGCAGAAAGAAGCTGATGGCCAAGAGGAAAGAGAAGCATTAGAGAAATCAGCTAACAGTTGCTGAGACAGTAAAAGTCAGCATGCCCTGCTCAGCTTTGGTATCTCCCGAGTGTCATCTTCTTCACCTTTGCTGCATTATGATGACAGTGATGGCCATAGTTACCAAAGATTCCTGAGTCAGAGTGTTTCCTTTGGGAAGGCAGGTTTATGCATTGCTTCAGAAAACTTTTTCAAAGATATTTGCATGAAGAGTCTATGAGCTCTGCTGTAGCCTTTATGCCAACAATAACAGTTTTCAGCATTTCCTTTATCTTTCGCATGCATATGTAAATATGCCTACAACTATACATGCATGTGCATGAGTGTAAAAATAAATGCATACATTCTTGTATGTGTCTACATTTATGGTTAAGAAACATACAATTCTTGTAAGGATGAACAGCTGAACTATAACACAGTGTGCATATAAAGCAGCGGTGCCAAGAGAGCACCAGAGGATGGTGATCTCTCAGATGGGAGACAGATGAGCTGAGCTTGCTTGAAAAACATGAAAGGGGGGTCCAGATGGAGCCCTGGACAGGCACACCCAGGGAGAGCTAGGTGCTGGGGTTTATGCAAGAATGTAATGGGGAAGAGCAGCAGGATTACCCTCCTGCAGAGGAACTCAGCTGGATGCTGGTCAGCACATCCTGCAAGGAAGCCATTTGAGACTGCAGAAAGGACCATTCAGAAGTAGGGGGAAGTTCCTCTGCACACCCAGAGCAGGGACAGTGCCTGTGCCTACTAGGCAGCCTTAGCACTGTTTCT